GTGTGTGTGTGTGCGCGCGCGCGTGTGTAGGGGTGTGTGTGTGTATATTTATACTTTATGTGTGTGTGTGTATGCATGTGTATGTATACCCATGTATATATACCGGTAATAAACTTGTATTATTTTAATGATTTGCTATGTTGTGACGTTGAGTTTTTTTTTTGTTTTTTTTTCTCCTCAATATTTCTCTTTTTGGATTGTGTTTACCTAGATGTGCGTGTGTAAGTTTAGACCTATAGAACTGTACAGGAAAATAAGTCTGTATTTCTGTATCTACTTTGTATTTATATACTTTAAGTAGTTTAATTTAAGTTTAATTGTTAATTTATGAAGGGGCATTCAAATTTTGTGCTTGTGCTTTTTATATTTTTTTTTTATGTAACTTTTTTTTTGTAATTTTGCTGGTCTTGAACGCACCGTCAATTGACGAATGCCGCTGTAACAAAAGTGTAAGTTCAATAAATTATTATTATTTCGGCAATAGAGTGTAGCGATTGTATGAACATGGTATAAAAAACCAAGCTTTAGGCGACGAATGGGGAACAACAACCAACGAGAACCACTTTGGAAATTAACGAGGGCGCACTATTCTTAGCGACGAGAACTGAGAGAAACGGTAAACAAGAACTTTTTTTCCAGGAAAGAAAACGTTTCGTAAAACAAACCATAATTAATCGGTAAATGTTGTGGTAGGCTAAGCCGTAGCCCTATTGATTATAATAATATGCTGATGATATTATAACAGTTATGATTGTTTTTTGTCAAACAATAGGCTAGGCAGACTGGCCTTTCTAGGCTAGCGAGGGAGCTGCTACTTAACACTTAAACTAGGCTAGGCCTAGGCCTATATAGCCTCAGGCAGACCTAGGCTGGGTCTACTACTAGGGCCCAGGCCTAGTACTACTACCTAGGCCTAGGCTAGCCTACCTATTTGGCTGGTACTATTTAGTATTCTTATCGATTTTATGCGCTACCATTGTAATTTAATTTTATATGAATGGTTTGTAAATATTTGTCAGGTATTTTTTCTTAATTGTTTAAAATACAGTAGGTATGCAATTTTAATTTGTTGTCTTTTTTTTTTCAAATCAATGTAATGTAAGTTTTTGACTCATCTTTTTGTTGGGAGAGCTCTTGATAGAAATTTGTTTACTTTATGTTATCCCCAGGCTTGATTTGTATATGTTTGTGTGTGTGTGTACAGGTATGTTGGAATAATAAATGATGAAGTGACAAGTAGTTTTGACCCAAGAAGCGTCAAATAGTCAAATGAGTGCTAAAATTACATTTTCTGAGTGTGATGCTTGAAGGCCTGTCTACACTATGACGATAGCGATCAATGATACAAAGCTAAAAACAATTGTTCTTATAGAAAATAAAAGAAATACAAGAAGTTTTCACACTAGCACGATTCATTAACAATTTATCGTGATGATAACAAAATATTTTCCAAAATCAAATCTAATGACATCACAATCATGGAAAAATGATAAAATCGTAGTAGCAAAAGCAATGTTATCGTTTTCCAATGAATATGAGGTCATTTGATTTGATTTGTGAAATTATTATCGAATCTTGCTTTTCTTTAGCTTTTTCTCATCGATCGTTATCATCATAGTGTAACCATGCCTTAAGCTTTTGACACTGTTTTCATAATTGTTTACAATTTTAAAAATTTGTGTGCAAAATAACCGTTGAGAGACAACAAAAGTAGTGGTTATAACTTCTGGAAAATTTGCATAGTTCTAAAGCTTTAAAAATGTATTGTCCCATGCTAAATACCAAAAAAATCATAAAAATTTTTTTTTAAAATTAACTTGCCCATTTTAAAGTAACATAAAAGCTATCAACTTGAACATAGTAATTAGTGTATTTTAAAAATGTCTACCCATCAGTTTACTTTCATGATAGAAACACTTCCAGTCACTGGAAGTGTTTTATTATTTTCATTATATTTTTCTGGTTTAAAAATCAGGGTACAAATTTTTTTAATTCAATATTAAGTTCTATGCACAAGTTAATAATTTGTATGTTATTGAAAAATGAGCAAGTTCATTTAAAAATTAATTTTTATTATTTTTTGACATTAGCAAGGGACAATACATATTTAAAGTCAAAAGAACATTATGCCATGGGTAAGGATTGTGTGGACACTCGTCCGAAGTAACATGCTCGTGAAATATTACTTCCGTCGTAATTTTACTTCAGATGGAAGGCTGTCCAAACATAACTACAGTATTGATAAATTAGTTCTGTTTCGTTTTTTGTAGCCACTTTTTCCATGCTGCTATTACATGACATCTCTAGGAAGGAACTGTAATGCCTGGAAAGAAGAAAGTTAAGAAGAGGAGGCCTAAATCTCCAGAAGATTCTGGCATAGTAGAAGACCCTATTGCTCCAATTACTGACCGATTAGGGATTGTGGATGATCAAAACAGGTCGCACAAGGAAAATGTATGTATATAGTAAAAAGTAAGGTAGGCTATGCCTACTATTAATATTGTATTCTCTGGAAAGTTATACCCTATTCAAATTGCATTCTGTTTGTGATTGGTTGCGATGTAATTGGTGGTAATCCAAAACTGATTACTCCCGATCGCAATCAATGAGCACATTCAGACCAACACAAAAAACTTTACATTCTAGGGCCTAGCCTCTGGTGGCTAGGCCTATGTTGACTGACTTCAGCCAAAAAGTGCCTGTGGAATTTGTTGTGATTCGTTACAATCGGATTCCGTGGTAATCGGGAGGAATAATAATTTTGATATCGATTACTTATTGACTATAATGGTGAGCTTTCACACACGATTTTACTTTGCGATTTGTCGCAATTGCTACAACCGATAGCAATGCGATGCTAGTCTGAATGGAGTAGCTATGATAACAATATCATAGCATGATGTATAGATATATAAGGGTTAGTTTAGTGCAATAAATTGGATTAATAAAATGTTGACATTCAAACATGTTTTGGCCATTATCTCAGAAACATGATTTGCGAGGATTGACTGGTTTGGCTTGTCTGCCACATTTTAAGACTGCTGAACAGTCAAGTATAACATTTTTTGTCTGGATTTTAAGTGGTAGAAATCATAGTTTTATTATAACAAAGGAATAATTTAATCTCATAAACTCACAAACACGTTAATCTAAAAAACAAATGTTGTATCATGTCTGAAATCTGTGTCACACTATCAAATTTTATGTGACAAATAAATAAATGTGATATGCCTGTATGTGGGTGTAAAATGACATCATCATGTCCGTATATGGGCACATCACACAAATTTGTCACATAAAATTTGACGCGTTAACAGAGTTGTAGGCGTAGATAGGTATTCACACAGGGGTACAATGACTGTAAAAGAGACATTGGGATCAAATATATTCATTTTCCTTTCCAGTTAAAGGCAATTTTAACTGAAGAAACGGTTGATGCTGACACTAAGATATTTATGGGATACAAGGTGTCAACAAGAGTGCTAACTGAGCTGACTCCTCATGAGATCAGGGACTTAAAGACAGTTTTTGAAGTGTTTGCAGATGAAGACAAGTAAGTTTACTATAGATAGGTCAGTGTGCAGTGTTCATGGAGGCAAAAAAAGAATTACCTCCTTGTGCAAATTTACCTTTGTCTATTATTGATAAAATAATAAATACATAATTTCAACACTGAAAACTTGATTCACCCAAGGGTTTTTTTCATCAAGGCCATGCAAGGCTGTGATATAAAATGCAGGAAAAATTATTAACACAAATACAAATTACTGAATACTGAATTGCTTTATTTGTCCATCATAAAATACTGTAACGGAAATTCTTTCTGAAGACTGTCAAACAAATTAGTAAACGATAATAACTAAAATAATAATTTAAGTAGTATTTAAACATTAAAAACAAAAAGTTAATGAAAGCATAAAGCTCGGTTTCCATAAAATCGCTCACCCTATCGACGACAGTTGTCGGGAAGGTTGAACCTAGTTTTGTTTTACCGATTGCGTTCAGATGAATCCGGTTGCATTGCTAGCTGTGCAGACGAATCGGGAAGGCACCCCGATTTGTCTGCAACACAATAGGCAAAGTTGAACCAGATTCAACCTTCCCGGTAACTATGGAAACCAAGCTTTAATTAAACAATCTTTATACAGTATAGACAATGTGTGTATACTGTTGAAATTGTATGTACTGATCCAGTCATTGGACTACAAGAATATTTTTTTGCAAAAAGGGAAAGTGACATTAGCTGAGAGAATGTGGTGGGTGGTATGAGGAGATTTTGTTGCTGGTCAGCAGATTTCCAAGACAAGTTTCCCAGCCAAAATATTGAGTAAATTACTATACATGTAGCTCTTCATCCTTGTAAACGACAATGTAATACAGAATACTTTATTCACAATGCTTGAAATTATTGTAAAAATTCATGAGGATTTCAAATGTTTCATAATATTAATTCTTTCTTTGTAAAAATCCAACTTACTTTGTTAGTGTCGTTTCGCTATCACACTGGAAGCTTTCTCAAGCCGGTATGTCACCTGACGATGTCATACATTGGTGTCATTCATAAAATGGCACCCTCACAATCAGCTGGATATAGAGATGATTTGAGTTTGTATGCCCCTCATCTTCGTTCCTTCTTATCCAGATCGAATCTCTAATCCATTTGGTATGTTTTGTGTTGCCTTTTGCAAGCAATTTCGCTGCATCCCAGTCAAGTACATGATTTTGGGTAGTAGCATGTTCTGCGACTGAAGCAAAAACATCGTTAACAAAGTAGGTTGAATTTGAATTTTTAAAAGAAAGAATTAATATTATGTAGACATCCAGTCATTTGTAATTCAATTTGAAATGTTTTGATTATCAAGTACACCATCTTATGATTGTTTTTTTTTTTTAAAGATATTTCTAAACATACAAGATAATCATATTAATATGAGTAAGGTCAAAATGTTTGTTACGATTTTCCACCAAGACACTTGCACAAATCTGGCAGAAATATATCATAGAACTATCCTTTCAGAAATCTTACCATCAGGATTTTTTTTTTAGCTTTTATTTAATAAAAAAAAGTTAAATATTATAAAATAACAATTTTTATGGAACACAAATCTGCAAAAGTAATAAAAATTCTACTAAAATCTGTTGTTATCAAATAAGGAATTCATTGTTTTCTGAGATTTTTTGTTCATCATCATGTTGATGTTGTGGTTTTCAACAGGCAAATAGGAGCTGTCTCAGTACAAAGGATGATGCGTGCTTTGGGCTTCAAACTGAAAAGGAAAGAAGCGCGAGAAATGATAGCAGACATGGATCTCGATAAAAATGGCTTAATAGACTTCAACGAGTTCCTTCAGTTTGTTATTGATAGACAAGGAACAGCCAGGGATATTCACGCTGAGATTGAACAAGGCTTCAAAATGTTTGACTATGGTTAGTTTTCTGTACTTCTAATTCATTTATTCATCATAATTTTAAAACTTATATAATCCACCAAATTTACATTTTTTATGCTAGGTTTTTGATTTAATAATTTATGTTTTAATGTCTGCTCTTTGGTTTGTGTTGCATAGGACACAATTTTTTTGCTTGCACTTGCAAATTGAAATGACAAGGTGAGTTAAAAAACACACTGATCTGGCATGTAAATTACAATCAATTTGGGTTTTATTCAACTTTATTTGAATAGTAATATGTACTTATTGAAAGTATAGGAAAAACAAAGTGGCATGGAAAATAATTGAATTTTCAGTTTACATTTCAATCTTTTCTTGCTGCATAAGCCATCAAGGTTATTACCCACCCTGATCAGTACAGTACAAAAATACAAAAGACAAGACAGGTGATGACAAGTCAATGAACACAGGTAACTGGTACCTGTCAATACACTTTGGCCAAGTCAAAGTGGGCCTACTTGATGAGCATTAAAAGATTGAATTCAATTGCAAAATAATACCTCTAGGTCTTAGTTAATACTGTTTCAGCTATATTAGTGTATACTTTGTTACAGTTATTTGTCAGCTAGTTTCTAATAAACAGGAATTTTGTAGGTTTTTGTAACTAAAGTGAGCAAAATTTGAAATGAACTGTTACAATGCGCCCTCATCCTAAATCGACCTAGATATCTGATTATAAAATTCATCCAGTGACTATGGCCTATTTCAGACTAGGTGGGTCAACTCACCGGGTTTATCCACCCTCTAGTCTGAACTACTGTAGGTGGCTTATCTCAAGCCAGGCGTTGTTCCTATAGTTACTAGGCCTGGCGTGCCACTCAGTTTAACCTTTCTAAGCCAGGCTTTAATCACTGCGGGGGGTTCTGTGTTGAACTCGGGTCAAAAATTCACCAATCAGCATTCAGTGACGTAGTGGCTGACGCACTATGAGAGAACGTACGTTTCACACGCAATGTTTTGAAAATCATTTCCTGGTTCTGGTTCATGAATATGCAAATTTAACTTCCCGGTTCTCGCGCCTGGCTAATCCAGCCATTCTGAACGCCCAGCAAAGTTAAACCGGGCTTAATGTAAGCACGGCTTATATCCAAGTCTGAACATAGCCTAAATTATATAATTTCTATTATTTCAAACCTTTTATAAAAAGATATGGAATTCAAACTAAGTAATAGATCTCGGTAAATATTACTTATGATAAATATTCATTATGATAAATTACTCGTACACTTACCACCATATTTGACCTGTATCTAATGCTTTCCTTTAGAGGGTGCTGGTCAGCTAACCCTTGATGATCTCAAGAAGGCTTGCAAAGAAGCTGGTGCTAAGTTTACCGAGGCTGAACTTAAGGAAATGATAGAAGAAGCAGATACCAACGGTGATGGTATGGTAAATCTGGAGGAGTTTACCAATATCATGCTAAAGACAAACCTCTTTTAACTGTTATGAAAAATGATAATATATTCATAAAACTAAAATCTAAGTATTGTAATTTGGTATCCAGTTACTGTACAAATAAGTAAGTTATTACTAGTTGCAACTGGTTTTAATAATCTTCTGGGTATTAATCCTATGATAATGTAATGGCCAGTTAAGGTGCAAAATAAAATAGGTTAAATAACTGTATATTTCCCCGCCCTTTCCCCCTCTCGCTCCCCCTCCCCTTTTGGAAAGTAAAAAAAAGGGGTGGGGGTTGGAGAAAAGAAAGAAAGAAAAAATTATTGCCCAAAATGCCTCGAATGCCTTCTTATTTTCGGGCATCTAAAAAACAAAAAATTCCGTGGGAGCATTTCCCTGGACCCCTAGGGTAGTGTTATCTCGATTGGCCCACCTTTCGAGCTCCCCTTTTGTGTCCCTGATAGGACACTTATGTAAACCGCCAACTTAATTCCATATATCGTTGATTTCAGGTGTGATTATAAAAGCCTGGCTCACATTCCAGAGATCTTCATTCTGAATCTTCATATCATCTGGTACTTGAATCATGCTGGTTATTGACCAAGAATGTTGCTTGTGTGGAAAGCTATCACTCTTTGCATTAATTATTTTTGTATATTGATAAAGTCTTTGAAAAGTGTGCCAGTTGTAGAAGTTTATATGAGCTGTGACACTGACAGACAGGTGTTCGCAAGCATCTTGCCCTGAGAGTCTATTAACAAGTAAGCAATTTCTTGTAATCTCAAAAGCTCCAATGAGGGCAGTATAATAGAGGCATTAGAGTATATTGACCCTAACGGCTGCCATACAAAGATCTATTGATCGATCAGCCGAGTGTTTCTAGAGCTCCTCATCAGAACTAAAATTAGGGCAGTATAATAGAAAATAAAAATATATTGGCCCTAAAGCCGCCCATACAAAAATAATCTATCAATCAGTATTAATCAATTAGCCGAGTGTTTCTAGAGCTTCTCATTGGAGCTAAAAAGTATATTACTAATATTTTAAATGAGGATATTTATTCTGCTGTTCAACTCTAAAGGAATTATGGGAAGACAACAGACCCAAATAAACAATCATTATTTATTACTGTATATTAAAATGTGCGCAATAACACAGAAAAAATTTGGAAATGTGAAACGGGGGAAAAAAATAGGACTGACACAAGCAACAAACCTGTCAATCTTGAATACTGTAATAAATATTAGTTATAAGATTTGTACAGTAACTAATTTTTTTATGTGAATGGAGAATGTTGCACCTTGTAGATAATAAATAGTATTTTTATAAACTGCATACTATGCATGAAAGGGTGCTATATAATTTACTGTACTTTTAAATATATAATAAAATAATTGACATTTTCATAAGCCTACATATAGTATAAAAATATATGTTATAAGTAATTGGATATTATCTTTTTTAGCCTTTATTTGTTATTAAACATTCCATCCATATAATTTGTTATTGTGTGATATACTGTAAACTAAATTTCTCATTTAAAAAAAAAATGTACAAGTTGAAGTTTGATAACTACTGCTCATGCCAGAATGTACAGTGTTTGTAAGATGTAATATATGCAATGTCACAGTATCGCTTGATTGATGCAATAAATGAATGACACAATTCGTAGTGGTTTGCTTTATCTCCTGTGTTTGTAGTCTACTGTATGCCTTTTCCACGAATCGGTAGACACCTTGAAGTGATGACAAACAACCTAACCCAACAGAAATAAGATAAGCTTTGAGGCCGGCTGAATTCTTGTCCTCATGTTATCTAAAAATTCATAACTCCATAACGAAGAGAACATTTTCCAGAAAAAGTTAAGGTGATGCGACACTCCACTCCACTGACTTGGGTTGTTTGTCATCACTTCATTATGTCTACACATTCATGGAAAAGGCGTAATGCAAAATAATAACCTTCTCTTCTTGCTGTACAATGACAAGCAGCTTTTCAGGTTATGTATTCTATATTTTAGTATGTTGTCTTATGCACAAGATGACACATTCCACAACTGCATAATTCTTGTGATTTTTATTCAAGATAGAAAATTTAAGCGAGCATCAAATTTTATTTTAAAACAAAAATGAACATGGTATTTTTTAATACTGTAATACAAAGTCATCAACAGTATTTAAAAAAAAAACCCTAAGTGATATGATTTCTTCTTTTTTGTACATTAAGAGGCATTAATATTGCATTACTGGCAAATTAAATATGTCTAGCATCAGATAACGTCATTAGAAAACCAAACTTGTGCTATTTGTATATGCAGTATCAACAGAAAATATTTGTAAATTTGAAAACAAATTGGAAGCATGAATTTGTATTAGCGAGATATGAACCCAAACTCACATTATCAAAATAATTTCAGTTACAGCAACATAGACACAATGCTTATAAATTAATAAATTCAATAATATATGTAGAAACACCAATTCATATTAGATGTATGCATAAATCATAGAGCAAAGAAACAGCTGTTGCTTTTCTCTATGCATAAATTGACTCAATATACTGAACTACCTAAACCTTGCATTAGACTAATACAGTCCAAGTGAGCCATTTGGGAGCTCTCGATTAAAATCGTTGAACAAAAACACAAAATGAATTCACTCAACTGTGGCTGGCGTTGCACGTTATTTTGAAAATTAATTTTTTACGACGTATGTGGAGACTAATGCACCAGTGTTTAATACAGTAAGTTCCACATTCTAGCCTGAAGGTAGATTTGGCCGGCTATCCCAGATTTTAGGGTAGAACGTAATACACTACATTAAGACATGCACGGTTAAATTAATATTACGTTCTAAGTTTTCGCCAATTAAAAGCTCCCAGTTTTTACTAAATAGGTCCTCTGTTGTACCCATTCGATGATGAATCCTGCATCTGCCCCTCAGCTGCTACAGGTATGAACACAATTGACCAGTAAACGGCTTAACTTTTGCCTTTGGAATTAGAACATTTTCAACCTCCTTAGAAACCCAAACATCAACAATTACGGAAACTGTGTATATCACGAATTGAGATAAGCACCAACTGGGAAGGATGCTATATTAATATTATAGTCTACCTAAAAAATGGGAAAGGGTACGGTGATCTAACATGGTTTTATCAGTACAAATATTGCAGTCAATAATATAATTTAATAATTAATTTTTTCTTTGTATTAAAAATCAAAGAGTAATCTAAATTTCTTGAAATTTACTTGGAATGTTTGATTTATTAACAACTCACACTTTCTTTCTAATATTACTACAATTTTTCCAATAAAAATACTAAACTTGTAATTGGTTTTTTTGTACTGAATTCTAAAGAAAAAAAAATCAATATTCATAATAGATTTGTGCTTTTTATACCATTTCCAACAAAGGCATAAGAAATAATGATAAGACATCATGTATATCATAATAATCCATTTTCTCCAAGTAAAAAATACTGTAAAACTTTTAAATGAATTATGGAGAAAAAGCCACTAGCGACAAAAACTTGATCTATTACATTCCTTTTCAAATTAATTTAATTTTTATATAAAAAAAAATCATTGTAAAACATAAAATATAAAGACAATAATTTTAACACCAAATAGTTAATTTTGCAAAAAAATCAAGTTATAACCCTTATCTGATTTGTGATAAAAACATGACAATGGTGTTGCGACAACCTTTTCAGAATTAAAAATTTCTAATGCTATTGTACAAACAGTATTTGCATTACAAATTATCACAACCTATGATTACTCAAACTATAATTTCAAGAAATGAAGAATTGGTTTGTGTGTAAAAAAATTAAGAGAAAACGGTACAATAATTAAAAATTTAAAAATTACAGTTGCTAAACCCTGCATCCTAATGTGTTAACTTCCTGAAACTTTGGAAATGTTACACATTTGATTAAAAATACTTTCAGCAATAAGAAAAAAAAATTGTAAGGAAAACCACAAGCGAGAATGAATGATGTAATATTTTGCACTTTACTTTAGATTTCTGAGTAACGTTTACAATTCCACTACACATCGGTGGTAGTGGTGTATCTGGGTGTTATGAGGAGCAATAAAAAAAAGAGGGGGAGCTATCAATTCTGCCTCCCCTTTTTTAAATATACTGCTTTTATTTATGGTAAGATCAAATTCTAAGAAAAATAGTGAAATTTATTATAACATTTTTTATTTGTTAACTTGTAGTACAGCACATGTATTTTACACGTCTACACATTAATGTCAGCATTGAATGCTAATACAATTATTACAGTATTACTAATGATTATGTACGCCAAAACCAAAGATCTTATAATTACAGGATAGCATTCGCCGCCATTTCTGAGTGCAAATTCTGTAATAACGCGGTGTAGGATACCCTCTTGCAAAAGTGATTACTTTTAAACTTTAACGTCAGAAATCGTTACCTGAAGATAGTGCATATGCGTGCAAATTCCATAACAACCATGGTAACAACTTGGACGCACTCTCTCAAAAGTGATTACTTTTTTATGCTTCCTTTTACTGAAGGACGATCCTTCAATTTGTTACGTGTAGAATCGTGGAGAGCACTATCTTGTAATTATAAGATCTTTGGCAAAACCTAAAACTAATTGGTGGAGACATTTTAAAACTGAATTTTGGAATAAGAAATCACTATGATAAACAAGCATTACTGATGTACCAATCAAAATTTTGAATGTGTGCATAGTTTGAATTTTACAGCAATTCTTATAAAACTCTACTGATGAAACAAAATTAGTATAGTATGATGCAAATGGCAAATGTGTGTGGTAGCTCAGCCTACGTCCAGTGGTGGCTCCAGAAATTTGTCGACAAGGGGATCGAACATATCAAACAGGGGTGTCTGAACCAAGAGGCTGACTAGAGTCTCGGTCAGGGCCCCAGAATAAAAATCCATGTAGGGTTCATTGGGAGACTTTTTATAGCTTAGTATGGCTCAAACACTGTGCTTTTAAACCACAAAATGTGGCAAAGACAAGCCAAACCAGTCACTTGTCGCTAATCGTGTTTCAGAGATATTGGCCAAAACATGCTCTATTTTATTGCACTAAACTAACATTTATATATCTATACATCATGATATGCTGTTATTTTTTCCATTTTCAATGTTAAAACAACAATTTTTAACAATTTGTTGATGGTTTCTGCCTGAGAAATGCCTGAAATCATAAACTTTGAAGGCTGATTTCTCAAATATTGTTCTTTAAACAGCTGTATGTTTAAACACTTTGTATTAACTTTTTAAAGAAATGTCGGATTTAAATGATTCTTTTACCAAGCTCTTACTTTCATCTTTAACCCTGTTACAACTAAAGATTTTTGTGACGAGTGCCTGGATTGGCTTGTCTTTGCCACATATAATGGGACCAGTAATCACAATTAACATTATTGGATAGGCAAATTTTATTTTTGGTCTGACGACATTGTGGCGTCGGGCGACGGGAACCAAGCCTGTCTGACGGGGAAATGCCCACCCTTTCCCTTCCCTCATAAAAAGTGAATGATTGTTATGCTGACGTGTGTGGCAGCTCCGCCTATATCAGAAATATAGAGGAGGTTCAGTATGCGTAGATGTGTAGTACAGAAATATAAATAAATGGCATGTCCAAGTACAGTATGTGTGGTAGTGCAGCCGTACGTACACAACGTTGTTTAATTGGTTGGTGTACCTCCACCTTAAACAATCAACAATATTTTGATACTAATTTTATAGTAAAAATAAGGAATATTTTAAACAGGCTATATACATGCAAATGGTTTTTGTTGAATAAATCTTATAATTTTGGATGAAAAAGCAACCACACAAAAATCTTGGAATGTATTGTATCAGTGGCATTGATACTACTGTACATTAGATGAAAACCAAAATCTAAAAACACACATTAAATTAAAGAAACTTAATAATGTATTAAAGGCATAAAACATGATATCTTCAAAGTATTGTAGTCTCTGGTTATACTAATGTGAACATAGTGACATTTAGGTAGGTCTAGGCCTACTTTCTGGAATTATACTGTAACCTATAGTAAGTGATCATCAAATAAATGTCTATGCAGAGTTCCGGCAAAATTTTATAAATAAGAACTTATCAGTTGCAATGTGAAAACCAATCACATCCTGTGATGAATCTTAACTGCAGGAAGTATTCACTATCCGTATTAACCCATTAGGAGTTGCAGCCTGATTACATTGGCAGTAAGTGATCATCCTGTTCCTCATCCTCATCAAGGCCTAGCTGGTCATCTCCAATACCTTTATACAATTTTGGTTCACTTTTTGGTTTTGTTCGAAAAACACAATCACACCCATCCTGTAATAAACAAATTAAATTTAAATTTAAATTTTGCTGAAATTTTCTATATTTTTTGTGTTATTTTAATTACAAAAAAAAAAAAATTATGACACTAGATTTATGTATTTTCGAGTACCTTCTGCTATTGCAGCATTTAAATATTTGATGAAATTTCATTTTAGTTAGTAAGCAGATTGCAGTCAATAGTGTTAACATGATGTTCATTAGCAAGTGGAATTTTTTTTTGGTATATTTTAACTACAGTATTATGTTTGCACATGTACACCGACATGGTATGTATATGAATGTCACTCAGTGATTCTACATTGTTATTAGAATGAATATTAGGTGCACTATAAAACCTATTTTAAAAATAATTTGAGTATGAATTTAATTCAACAGACATATTAGGCTAGTTTTGTGGGATGAAGCTATTTTTTTCTCCATTGGTCTAAAAAAAAACCCAGAGATATAAGAACAACAGAACCGCATTCTGTCTGAAAAATGTTGCATGTATTACATAAATCATCTATTGAAAATTTGTTTTTCTTAATAGCAGTTAAGGTGGTGTAAGTGAAATTATAGAAATACTCATAACTAAATCTATTTTAAATATAACAAAATGAATTGCTTTTTTTTAAAAATAATTATTAGCTTTCAAAAAAATCAGAAAATTTTCCTTGCAAATTGCCAAGTATGACTTTAAAAATACAATAAGTACATATAATTTTGCATTCTACATAGCCTTTAAACTTTACAGCAAATTATCCCTGTCTCTTCCAAGCCAACCATTGTGTTTATATTTTGTTTATATTGGTCATTTACATAATTTTGAGTGAACAGTTTGATACGGTGTTTTTTTTTACTTCATTTACCTGATGAAGCTAGCTCAGCAAGCTAGTGAAAGCTTGTATCTCAATAAATTTTCTAAAGAATGTGCTACAGTACTTTCTTCATTTGTATTTAATGCTATTGATTAGGCTTCAAATTTTATTAACAGCAAATTTAGGATTTCTGTTATTGAAGTGTCTGAAATCCTACTGATCGATCTTTGATTTTTGTTTATCTGTGATCCTAATTGCAAGAGGAAAGTTATGTGGTTCTTTCAAATGAGCAACCTATATCTAAAGTTTACTTGTTGAGGTTTTCTCTATTAATTATGAGGAGCAATTAGCATATTTACACTCATATTTATGTGTAGTGATAATTGAATGGAATGTAATATTTTTTGATAATTATATTAATGAATTGGTAATTATATTTTTGTAGTTAGAATTTTAAAATTGAATAAATTGAATATAGCATAAGCCTCTTATAATTACTGTATATGAATATTACTATTTAAAAAACATTTCTACTTTTCATTTTTGTTTATTTTTTAATGTATAAAGTTGTTTTGATATTTGTTTGTTTCTTGCTTAATTTTGTTCTTGTTTTTTGCAAATGTTTGTTCTTTTCTGCCTTGGGGATCTGCCAATAGTGTTCCACATATCTGGTTATCCTTGGAGGGGTTGTTTTATTTTCCTTTATTCTAATATGTAATAAACAAACAAATGTCACATTGCACTCTACAAGTTAGGGTCAAGGATGTGCGTGGAGAAGCTGCTACGACTGTTCCAGTCAACTGATAACAGCAACTAGAATCCACTATTAAGCAATTAGTAGAGATAGTACACTATAGGAAAATTATTATACGAAGGTTAGATTTAATGCTTGAAACAATTTTTGAAAGCATTAAATCTAACCTAAGTATAATTATTTTCTGCTAGTGTACGATGCATGCTCTAAAAATTGCTTTATAAAACAATCGCCGTCTTTTAATGTTAGTTTTGATAACCAAATACTGTAGCAGTCATCGGTTGCTATAGTGATATGATAAGTATACTGTGCGCATATTTACATTTAGTTGTGCGTATGATGAATTTGAACTAGGCCTACACATCAGCAGTACAGGAGTATGGCTATGATGAGTAACTACTGTAATTTGTAATTGTGTTAGTTAATGCTATTGTGATATATTTGTCGAAGAAATAAACATTTTTTAAAGCATTCGAGAGAGAATACAGTCACTGACTACTTGCTCAGTGCAGACAGGTAAAAATCGTGCAATGATTTCATAACTACGCTAGGGTATGGCCTAGTAGGAGGGCCTAGTACTAGTAGGACGAGGGCTCGGAGACCTCCTGCCTGGCTGTAAATCTAATTTTGTACCTTGAGTCTTTAAAATAGGTCTAGAATATTCCTATTAAACATCAAGTTTGTTTAGTTTATTAGGGTTCATTGATTCAAGGAATTCTTTAATTGTTCATACTTAATATTGAATTTGAAGTAACTTTCTTTGGGTTCTAATTAACCTTGTTTTAGGAAATTGCTTTTCAATTGCAATTCAATTTTCATCGCGGTGCGCGATATCTTCGTGGTGACGAAAAATTAGGTATTTTTTTTGCACACGAACCTAAAAAAAATCAAGCCAAGCGTCCACTAATTGAAAAATTAGTGGACTGTGAGGCAAATAATATTAGGAGTTGCAGTGATGACTTCACGACTGACTTATAATTGTGATTATTCGATAAAGGAAGCTACATTAACACCTGTGTAGCTCCTGTGATTTATGAATTCACACAAACAAACAAAAGAACTCTACAAGTCTGAAACCAATTGGATCAAAATTCATTTAAGAAATAACTTTATTGTCATTCTCACAAAAAAGGGGAAATGAATTTTTGTTGCTTCAATCATTGCCTTAAGCATAAACATGAATACTGTATTTAAATACTTAAAATAATAATGGTCAAAATTATTCCAACTAGACAAAATCTTTACTATGCAGAAATATTTACATTCCTTGTTTTAATACTTCCAAACATAAATCTAATAATAATAAAAATTAAAAAAAACTGGCAGAAAGTATGAAAGACAAGTTATGATCAACAGCTGATCACACATGGGCAAATGCGGTCGGGCCATATTGTTGTGGCTCACGAAAATAAATTAAAAACCATGTGGTGAACCTACCGACTACTTTGGCGAGAAAACCTCTCATATTTGACCACCCAACGCTGGATATCTAAAAGATTAAAACTGAGCATAAAGCGGCATAAAAGGAGTGTACAGTGGTTTTTGCAAAACACTGACACAATCAAATTTTGCTTCTGGCCCTCAAGGTTAATTCAGATGGGCCCTCCAACCCATTTTTATGCCCACCCCTGCCTTTGATGTTCATATTCCAATGCTAAAGTAAGCATCTTGGCAATCCATACTATAGTTTTTTTTTGGTTTTTTTTGGTAATACATACTTCAGTAATTTTTATGATGAAAATCAATTTTCTCTAAAAATTGAGGCAGGGCATATTATGTGCGGTAAAAAGTCCCATTATTATAAAGTTTCCTAGAATCAACTGCATGTCCGACAACCTGTAAATACAATCAGGTTATCATTGGGCACAGCGTGAATGGGACTACACACAGCAGCCAATTGCAAGTCAGACAACCTGTAACTAAAATCATAGGTTACTGGGCACAGTGTAAAGGCAACTACACACAGCTCCATAACCAATTGCACGACAGAGGGAAAGGATGTTTCCATTTTCAACATGTACAGTAAGAAGGATGATGTGGACAAAAGAAAAATAACCCACTATGGTAACCATAATGATAACCAGGGAAATCAACAAAACTAGACAACTTTTAACAATTTCGGTCTACTTTGTACTGTGTCACAAACTCCAGCATATTAACCTATCAATTATTATAACACTACATGCCGTCATTTAGGAACATGCGATCATAATAGTATTAATGAATAAAAATTATGCAAAATAACTATTTAATGTCAACAATCGTTGCTTGTGGAAAAAATACATTGACTGATAACATTGAATATTAGCACGTGACTGTACAATGAACAAAATAATGATACAGTAGCATTATTACAGTATTTAGAAGTATACCAATTCTGTATCTGCAAATTACAGTGATTGGAATAATGCTCCCCTGTCCCACTCATATAACAAAACACTGGCATTTGGAAATCAGAATTGATTAAACTTTAAGGCAATTTTTTTTTTTTTTTTTTTTTTTTTTTTTTTTTTTTTTTTTTTTGCTAAACACCAATCAATTTACAGTGATTATTCTCCTTCTTCAGATGCCATACTGGGGGCTTCCGGTGGGGTATTCTCATGACATATCATTTGCTACAAATATAAATATTGGTATTCTACAATGATTTTTTTCCCCCATTTCTACAGTGTTCTAAAGACTTGCCACATGACATGGACATGTATGTTGGGGGTACCCCATGAAGTTCCCCAATAATGATGCCCTTTGGAAAATTTCCAATTAAATTTGTGTAGGTCTACTGTTCTATATTTATTGCAACCCCACTATATATTACATATATTTTGGTTAGTAAAAGATTAAAATGAATACAGTAATTAAGGTACCAAATTAGTAACATAAACTTAAAATGTAGTATTTTCAAACATTATACAAGTATTTTGGGCTCCTTATGATAAAAAATATACTGTACATCTGCCAAATATAAACCCATGTGATCCCTGAAGATTCATGTGTTTTTGATCGGTCAGGCTTTGGCTGAATGAAAAGTTAATTAAAATAATTGTGTCTACAAGTACCAAACTCTTCAATTTGTATTTTCTTTTCCCTTTAGTAATTCAACTTTGAGTGTATTGATTATACCATGCGTTTTAACAGCTTTTTTTCAAATATCTAACAAATCCTCATTTCACTTCAAATTTCATTTCCTATTAATTGAATAAACTACTTCCTAACTATCTAGTCATTATGAAATAAAATCTGTTCTGGAAAAACCATCACACTTGTTTGAAAAGGTTTCTGTTCTAATACCATTACAATAGCAATCTTAGCTTTACTTGTTTGGTATACTGTTCACACACATGCAATTCTATAGTTAAAGGATACAATTAAATTTTTCACTTCTTTACAGGTGATCTGTTTTTGTTTATGAAATCTGTTACTGTAGCTACTATGTGTAAATTCTTCTCTGATCTTCCCAGACACGTCCAGATACCAACTATTAAAACATTACATTTTGATATAGCGAAGACAGCATAGTAGCACTCATCAGGAACACAAGACATATTAACTACCATTCAATCAGTCTACAGACTATGACGCCAAGTGCTATGAGTACAGTAATGTCAATTTTTCCCTTAAGTCATATTCTATTTCCCAAATTATTGTTTAAATTTATCATAATTGATAATGTTGAACCTTACAGAAGGTTGTTAATATCTTTGTAAGCTTAAGCTGACTAGTCTTACACAGTTAAACTGACTTTTTGTTATCCTTTTTGGGCTGTTTTTTAGGCTATATCTAGTATTTACTGTAGGTTCTTTTAATTTTTATCCAGACCTTTTTTGAAATGAAACTACAGCAAAATTTCACTATAAAGACAACCTTATGAAATATTATTATAACTCATTTCAAATGTATCTAAAGCTAAATAACATTTTTACTGTATATATATCTCTAGGATTCTCCATACCAAAATGAATTCATAATTTTAATACCGTATTTGGTGTAAAGTGCCTGAGAATCACGTGCAAAGCCAGTGTTTCACTGGCAGCTAAACTTACAGTACTTAAAACACTATAATAATTTGAATACAGTAATTGCATAAATGCGTACGGTACTTTCTAAAAATAAATTGTTTCTTTAAAATTACTAATGCAAGTTCTTATAACCTTATGAAGCCTTAAAATGGCTAGCAGTCAAAAGGAATCCTTTTTTCCAACCCCTGGCTAGATCAAGCCTGGAAAAAAAAAATGTTTGTACCTCTGACCATGAAAGTTGTCTCAATAAAACGTCTCCAGCACCAAAAGTTATCTGAACACTATACAGCCCAACAGTTAATTTTGTTTTTATTTTTCCCCCCAAATTGCCTCCAGGACATTTATGTTTTCCCCAACCACTGGCCGTGCACTTTTGCCAGTCCTGCCCTAGATCGGTGACTGAAAGACTAGAAGTGTAGGCATACCTTGGCCAGTGTACACAGACAGAGCACAACTATGGAAGTCTCAACAGATATCACAGTGGAACTATTTAACTACATATTTTCTCACAGTATACAGCAGGGTTGGCGGAATACATATTAAAGTGAGGGTGAGTGCCTAGTAGTAAGATGAATGGGAATATGAATTGCGAGGAAGCCGATCACACAAAAATCTGCATAGACATTATATATTTTCTGCCAAAAAGTGAGGGTTGGGGGGGGCCGGCCCCTGGCCACCCCAGTTCCGCCGGCCATGTACAGTAAATGAGTAAATTTGAACAACAAACAGTTTACTGCAAAAGAGTACTCCCAGTTTTGTGAGAATGTACATTATTTATCCCATTTGTTCATTTCTAGTGTTTATATCAGGTCTACTTTGTACTGGATATTTTGATCTCTCTGTTTTCAGTAGAGAGGTTGCACATCATCATCGTCATCTTGATCCATTGTTAGGGTGTTGTGCTCAAAGCCCAGGTCTTCATCCCCTAGGCCCCGGTAGGCGGGCGAGTCATCAGATGGACTGCTTCGGAATACAAGATCACAGCCATCCTGCAAGACAAAGGCCAATGGCATCTAAGAATGGATGGCTGTTGCAGGAGCTTGTATTAAGGCCTTTGCTGGGAAGACCAGGGATATCAAATTCACTTATAATCAAGCATGCTACAATTCTAAGCCACACATCTTCTAATTATCTAATTAGTTGGTATACCAATAAACGTAAAATTTACAGTAATATAATTTTTTGACAGCAGTAATTTTTATTTGAATTTTTTAGTAAAATATTTCTACTGCATTTTACCTTATACAAACTAAAAAGATTAAAGTTTAAGTTCCATGTGTAAATTATCCTTAGTTATCTATCATAGTCACCTTGTGCACGTTTTTTTATCTCGCATAATTGTGCACTCATCTTGCATAACAACATATTACACTCATCACGCATTCACCATGTGCACTCATCTCACATAATCACCTTGCGCACTCATCTAGCATACATACTGTCATCTCACATAATCACCAATATGTGCACTCATCTCATATAATCATCTTGTGTACTCAACTCACATAATCACCATGTGCACTCATCTCACATAATCACCTTATGTACTCATCTCGCATAATAATATTCTGCAGTCATCTAGAATACTGTAATCACAATGTGCACTCATCTCATAATATTTACCACCATGTGCACTCATCTCACATAACCACCTTGTGCACTCATCTCACATAATCACATTGTGCGCTCATCTCACACAATCACCATGTGCACTCAACTCACATAATCACCATGTGCACTCAACTCACATAATCACCATGTGCACTCATCTCACATAATCACTTTGTGCACTTCTCTCACATAATCACCTTGTGCACACATCTCACACAATCACCTTGTGCACTCATCTCACATAATCACATTGTGCACTCATCTCACACAATCACCTTGTGCACTCATCTTACATAACCATCTTGTGCACTCTCCAAGTAATTGCCTTGTGCACTCACCTCATGTAATCGCCTAGTGCCTTCGCCTCACATAATCACCTTGTGTACACTCATCACTCATCTTGCATAATAAATAATTCAAAATATATAGAACCTCACATTGAAAAAAAATATGAGATACTTAAAAACAATGTAAAAGAAAATAAAAACCTGACAGACCGAACTGATACAATCAAGTAGTACTGTTAACTCCAGTTTTTTTAGCCATGTTAATGTCACAAATCAACATGCAAAATTATCTTAATTACCTTGCTCAACAATTTGACATCACATTCCATACAAATTTAAAATAACAATAACTTATACACTCATGCCACAATCACAAACCAATTTTTCATACTATACTATACTGCACTTATCTCACAAAATCATATAGATCATATTACTGTACATAAGCAGTTAATAAAATAGCACCCATCAAAATTAAAACCAAAAATGTTAATACCGGGTTAGAATACCTAGCAGAGGTTGATGTGCATATTGTGTACATATCTTAAACATCTGCGAATATCTGATGTTTGGAATTACAGGGACGCGAGCCAGAAATTAGATAACCAATGATGTACATGAAACAAATCAACTTTTAATTGACTACTCGTAAAATAATTACAGCAAACAACTGTCTTCAAAGTTAAACACTTGAGAGGGACTCAGTTGCATGAACAATGCTGTAATAGGCACTCGTACAGACTTTGTCATTTGAAAATGGCAGGCGAGCAATAAAACACTCACCACAATTTTCAGGCGAATGATTATTTTGCGGGATGGCAGGGGGGAGCTTAGCATCTTTTACGCTGGTAAATAATTGCCGTGGTCAGCAAAAATTGCGTTAGCATTCCGAGGGCTGTGGAGGCAAGTTATTTTGAAATGTAAAGGCGAGCTATTTTCACACCCCTCAATAGCAGTTTAGGTGCGCAATGGTGCGCGACCGTGCGCCTTAAATGACAAGGTCTGCTCTTACAGAACATTGTGTTCTAATTGGTACGTAGAGTGAGTATTGCTAAAATGGGTTACAGGTACTTTTATGCTGACAGTACAGTATGTCCTGGAGGGGAACCTTTATTCGTGACCAATATGGTAAGGATAGTACACCAGTACATGTTTTGGAGTGCCCACTGCATGAGCAATGCTTTAAGCGCTCAGCTACAGTAATAAGCAGTAGTATATTTTGGAAGGACTCCCACCGAGTAAACAATGCTGCAAATGCTATCTAACTGTAAATGTTGGAGCGACTATATTCTGTGAACAAGACTGTAAGTGCTCATCCTATTATGTGTTTGAAGGGTCCAGTGGGTGAGCACTACTGTAAAAAATATTTTAGTAGCACGGACTCCATTAACTGAGCAATGCTGCAAGGGCTAGTCTTACTCTAAAACAGTATGCTTGAGAGGCTCATCGAGTGAGAAATGCTGCAAAGACTACTCTTCTAGTGCTTTAGCTGCCCATTGTGAGAGCAGTGCTGAAACGGCTACTCTTCTACTAGTACAGTGTGATAGAGGCCCCATTGTGTGAGCAGTGGGGAAACAGCTGCTCTTCTGCTATGTTTTAGAGGTCCCTTTAAATACTGTAAGCAATCTTGTAAGGTCTATGATAGATAGGTTAAAAAAAAAAACCTCCACTACAATAACTGAATGTCTATTCTTATACACTAGTATTATACAATACTACAGGTATGCTTTTTTATAAAGTCTACAGCTTAAATATTCAAAAATGTATTAATCTCTTAATCAAATTTAATGAAATGTGCATATGGGCCATAACACAGACAAGACTAACATAATAAACACCTCATCTGAAAGATGGTATGCAATTGAAACAGGCATTTTCAGCCTTCCTCCAGTTGAAAATTGTTAGTTGTTAAATAAAACTTTTAAGACTGTAACAAAAAACACCCCTCAATTATGTATGCCCTTTAATTGTGCGAATACTTTTAATAATTACCTGCATTAATATTCCTACATCTATCTTCAAAATTGTATTATTTCTTATATATTACTTTGTCATTGCCGGAGCGGCCGCCAACACCCCTGTTGTCATCATCGTCATTATTATTATTAGTTATTAATATTATTAGTACTGTTATCACTGTAATGACATGCTCTTGCACTTTTTTAATTTAATGATTTTTTTTACATTATTTTTAAATATGTTATGTTTTCTAATTTAATTTGAACTTAATAATTGCCAACAAAATGCATACATATGCAGTAAAGTGAAAATATGAGAGGAAAATAGAGATATGACAATTGAACCTTATAAATTTAGTGAACGATTGATGTATGTTAGATACGAAAAAAATACTTACCGCTACTAAGTTACCAAAGTCCCTCCAGAAGGCAATGTTAGGGAATTGCTCCATACCTTTGGCTCCAATGATGAACCTCTGATATACAAAGCCACCAAGAATGTACACAAATATAACACAAACAAACCTACAACCAAGAAAAAAAACAAAAAAAAACCACAATCATTACAATTTCAGTTTAAGTATACAAATAATCAAATGGAAGTAGACTGGATGAATTAAGAAAATACTTACAAAATGATGAGAATAGATCCAAGACTTAATCCTGATGATGGGTGTTCAGAGCAAGCTATACTACTTGTAATTTCAAATAAATAATAGCAGTCCTCTGTTCGATTATTGTTCTCTTCAAGTACAACTTTATTTCCCTGTAAATAACAAAATCATACTAAAATTATTGAATTGATAACAACATCAATATTGCATATGTAGCAAAGACATGCGAAACCAGCCACTCATCGCAATAATCAATTTTGATTTATTAATACAATTTTAAAGAGTAAAAAAATCATTCAAATCTGACATTTCCTTAAGAAGTTACAAGCACTTAAACATACAGCTGTTTGAAAAACAATATAAATCAGCCATCAAAGTTTATGATTTCGGGCATTTCTCATGCAGAAACTATCATTAAATCCTTAAAAAGTGTTGTTTTAACATCGAAAATGGCGAAATAACAGCATAGCATGATGTATAGATATATAAAGGTTAGTTTAGTTCAATAAAATAGATTTTTTTAAATCTGACATTTCAGTATATTTTGGCATTTTCTCTTAAACACGATTTGCAATGAGTTACTGGTTTGGCTTGTCTTTGCCACATATTATTGGCCCCACCCATTTAACACAACAAATCAACATATTAAATTAGTCACTGTGCCTCGGAATAGCACGCTAGATAGATCACACATCGTAAGTGTTTTTTTATTATTATTATTCAACTATATCTATAGATAGCATGATGAAAAAATGGTCATTTTAGATAAAATTAACCACAATTTTGAAGTACTGTATCTTCATCCAATGTTCCCAAACTATTTATGAAATTGTGAATGGTATATCTTGATAGAGGAACCAGATATTAGTCTATATGTATCAATGTACATCTTTTTATTTTTGTCATTCCAGTATCAGCCTCCTCAACACTCTACAAATTCATATTGGCCATTACCGACATGGCTATCATAATGTGTGGCAAAGACACTTGCCAAACCAGTCACTCGTCGCAAATCTTGTTTCAGAGATATTAGATATTATCAGCCAAAACCTGCTGGACGTCAAATTTTTTTAAATCTATTTTATTGCACTAAACTAACCTTTATATCATACATCATGCTATGCTGTTATTTTACTCATTTTCAATGTTAAAACAACAACTTTTAACGATTTAGTAATGGTTTCTACCTGAGAAATGCCAAAAATCATAAACTTTGAAGGCTGATTTCTCAAATATTGTTCTTTAAACAGCGGTACATGTTTAAACACTTGTAACTTCTTAAGGAAATGTCAGATTTAAATGATTCTTTTACCATTTTGTAGCTCTTATTTTACTGTTGAACATTGTATTAATATCTGAAAATCGACTTTTTGCGACAAGTGACTGGTTTGGCTTGTCTTTGCTACATACATAAAAACCACTTGGAAATTAAAACTAAAATAAGGAGAATCTATAAGGAAAGGGTGGGGAAGGAGTGGGGTATATGTTTTATTGAGGCATTTAAAAATTGTTTCTGATTTGAGCTGAAATAAACCAATACTGTATTTATGTTGAAATTTACCAGTCTATTCATTCATTTAGTATTTATTAGCCCTTTTGTCTTTCTTTGTTCTTTCTTCAAACGTACAGTAACATCATAAACATTTCATTATATGTTTAAACATTACAAATCAGTATTAACATATTAAAATTTAAATTAAAAGAAATAAAGCACAGCTTATCACATGAAAAACCCCCGGATACAAAAATAGTATCAATATAAATACTGTATACAGGCACTGCAGCACACAATGGTTTAAGGAAATTACTTATAGCCTTAAAAGCCTACTATGTGCATATACTGTATTCTTTAGCAAATACAGATACTGTGCCTAAATGTTGACAAGTTACATAGGTTTTGTTACTACCTACCACAAGTTCATTTTTCTCATCACAAATGATCATTATATGAGATTGTCTCCCTTCTTGCTTGCAGTGGCCACCATATGGATCCCCATTATGATATTGCAAAAATATCCAGTTACCTGAGATGAACAATCGATCAATCAACTACAGTTGAGAGTCAAGTATATGAACCTTCTGACTAAGCTCCGCCCCTTGGATATTGTTGATAAATTCGGACAAGACGACAGCATTAAAACGTATGCGAACATGTGCATTTGTGGGACATGTGTGTTTGTTGGACACAGTGCGTATTCCTGGCACTATTCTGATTGGTCAGTTTCACTGACACTCCGGAAAGGTCAATTATTGCACCAAAAAATCTTGGGTCATTTTTAATTTTTAATAATATATAGCAAAAACATTGTATTTTTACTAAGGAGTACAAAAATACTATGATGATGGATTTTGGCACTGTGGTTACAATGCTATCAAAATGTGTGGGGCGAGAAATGGTTGACAATAAAACCAGAAATCAAAATATAAAGCCAACCAACTGGCAGTGAATTCAATATTTAACTGTGCTTGAGCAACTAAACAATTTATGCTTTGTTTTACGCTAAGAAGTAGAGATTGTCGGGTTATCAATTTTAGTTTCTGTTTTTGTTAAAGGTATGCAAATCAATTTAGAATGTTTGTTTTATTCATAAAATGTTTCATAAAATATAAACCTTACATTAGTTTTTGTCAAATTATGATTACATACATATTTCCTTTGACCAAAATTGACTTGGTGTACAACACAACTCATTTTATCATGACACTTCACAAATACATTTTTAAGTACTGCAATATGAAAAAAAGTTCTTACTTCCAAACTGGATATGGGCTTTACTGATAAGGCCTAAATTATGTTCAATATGATCACCGAAATTCTCTGTTTGCGTTACACCAACATTAGGGGCCTTCACCGGTGAGCAAATTCCTATGCTGTATGTGTAGTTTTTTTGTGAGTCTTGTATACTTATAGGTTTCCTGCAAGAAGGAACAACTGAACGTTACAAATAATACATGCAGTTAATTATGCAATTAATTCTTACCAACAAAGCTTTCTTAAAATAATGTGATGTGCCCATATATGGGTAGGATGACATCGAACGTGTTCAACTCTATGTTCTTTCACATTTTATGTGATGCTTTTTTTGATGACATTTGACAGTGTACAGTAGACACAGATTAAGATTAGTAAGATTGCCAAACAATAACAGGCAATAGACAAAAGATGAACAAACCAACAAATCTCCAATGTCTCAATTAAATTTTTATATACCTTTTTCACGCAGCGGTAAACACGTTCCATCAATGACAAAAGATGCTGAGCAGCGAAGCATAACTAACAGGAATTCCCACCTTCAAAATCTTAGCACTGATATGTTTACAACATTTCCAATTTTTTTTAATAAAATACAAAAAAAAAAAAAAAAAAAAAAAAAAATAGAAAATAACTCAATCACATAAAATTATCAAGGATTAATATAATAATTTTATGTTATTTTTTATGTAATTTAATAAGATAAGAACACCTGAGTGTTTAAATACCCTGGCTAGGTAGAGTCTGAGCCACTCTAGGCCCCGATATGAGTGATGTGTCATCACGTAGCCTACTAGAATGCATTCAGAGAGAGGAGACATCCCCTCTAGGCTTGTGTACACGTGGTGCATGCATAATATATAATGGTCACACATTCAAGATACAGTGTAAGCCAATTTGCGTAAATCTGTAAAAAATTTTATTTTATTAAAATAATCCTGTAAATATTTGGGCATTACGGACATACAGCTTGAAGAATTTTCTCCCTTGTATTTTAAAAATTAAATTACAATTAGTGCCTAAAAACATACTGAATGTTTGTCTTAACCCAATTAATAAATATTCCAAATTTCGTTCAAAAAAACCAAACCATCTCTGAGAAAATCACAAAACACCTTGCGTTACGGATGTACGGTAAAAATGCATTTTTCTACACAGTTAACTTTAACCATAAATTCCATCAATTACTTTGGGACTAAACTTGAAATATCTTTGTTTTTATTTATACAATACATCAAAACCATGATTAGGTTTTCCGATTCTGTATTTCCCATTTGCAAGGCAGAAGATCAGTTTACTTTCTTTTACGGACCTATACATGAAAATGTTACGGACGTACACTTTCAACCACAATGTATTTTAGCTGGATATGTCTTAGGTGTTTGCATATTCCTCATATTCAATTCTATTTTTTATTATCTTGATAAAAACTAATGTTTTTCCTTAAAAAAGACATCTAAGCAAGTAAATTACACGAAAATATAACTTTAATGAAGAGAAAAGACAGTAAATTTTAACACTTGAAAAAATGTTATTTTTTTACTCTTTAAAATTACTTGACAGGAACATTTAAAAGGAGAAAATATTGAAAACACTTGATTCAATTAATTTGTTATTTATTTATTGGATACAGGGAATACATCAATTAAATTTGCATTTAGTGACTTGAAGACTTTAGTTGTTTGATTATTAGATTCTGACATATATGGCCATTTCCATAACTTTGGGCCACTGGCCTCTATGCAACTAACTCCATATCTGTCTTTGAAAATATTTTCACTATTCCTGGGTACCGGTTTAACTGTTTCAATTGTAATTGTAATATTTTATCCTACTACAATACAACTCTATTACTTTCTTCTTCACATTCGCTTGAATTGTTTTCACTCTCATTAGACACTACATCATTTTCATCACTTGCAATCCACTATCACTGCTCTCTCACCTTCAGCCATTTGAAATAATCACCCTCTCATCATCTGGTAAAGTAGTCTGTCAGACCACAAGGTGCTTCATGTGGTGGTCAGCCTGTTTACTTTCTGTTGTGCATGTCCTTTCCTTTCCCTCTCATTTCTCATTATACTGTCCTTGTTTTATGAGGTAAATTTTTATTTGAGACTCATCTTCTTCTGCCGACAGTATCTCTCACTCAGAGCAGCATGTTTCATTAACTGCTGAAAAGTCAGAACGAAGTTAGATTTAATAGATCTCAATTGTAATAATTTATCCGGACCAGCAATCAACATTAAAGACAGGCCTTTAGAATTATAAAATACACCGATGGATAAATTATAAGATATGACCAATTATCATAGAGATACTTCATTGTGACTGAGGCCTACTGTACTAGAGTGGCCAATGTTAGGTCACCGTCCTAATTTTAGACAACATATCACACATTCAAGAATCGTTATTTTTAACAATAATTTAAACAAATGCCAAAAGAAACTTGTCTAAAATGATACGTCACTTAGGCCCCTCCAACATGGCATCGGTGGCCTCACTAAAACAAGCCAATGAGCAATCCAGCTATTATAGTAGAGATCAGTGGTTGTAGCCCATCGGTCTAGCCTACAACATGTCTGAATCGGTGAAGCACACAAGAGCTACAGTAGGCCAAAGAGATGAGCTTGTTTGATGGAAGCACTATGCATGCGTATCAGTAGACAGATTCCACGGAAGTTTGGAAAAGTGCATATTGATTGATCATAGAAAAAGAAAATTGATTGATTGATTTAACTGATTGATAAAATTTATTCAGTATCGAAACAGAAATTAAAGAAGAAAATGAATACAGATTCAGGCGACCGGATCAAGACAGTAACGATTGTTTCTGGTACCTTTTGGTTACCATGACCAACAAGTCATGGAAAATGAAAACTCGTTTCCCATATCAGGCCTAGCAATAAGCAATTATTTATATTTAGGTCTAGGCCTAGTAGCATCGAAATGGATACACTAAAAAAACAGTTTCCGATAGTTTCCCATGATCATAAGACACGGAAACCAAAAGTAGTTTCCCATGAAATTTGAAATCCTGTGGCCCAAGATTTCCTTGCATGGCTCAATACTGGTATATTTTTTGACGCAAACTAGGTCAAACACTCAGTTCACAAATTTTCACGCAACACATTCACGTTAGCTTGGTCACCATCGTCGTGTGGTGGAGGTTCAAATTTTGTAATGTAATTTATACCGTGATCTATAAAAAAATGAAACCACGATGGTAGGCCTAGAGTACCAGTAGGCGATTTTTTAATTACCAAAACAGGATACACAGCAATTGCTGAATGCCTAGGGTAGGTAAATTGTTAGGCAAGACCAGACCACTTGACAGCACTACATCCGAAACCCCGGCTACTCATGCCGGTTACATCTACATGTGAATATTTTAGGTACATCCCGGCACTATGTACAGAAACACAACTATGTGTACCGTACACATACTATGGGTAAGGGCGGGAGAACAATTGACAAGTGCATTATTAATGTGAAACTAACAAGGCTAGGCCTCTAGGGCCTAGGCCTCGGCTAGGTACCTGCGAATGACGCCACGCCCACTTTCACTGTCCACACATAAGTGTGACTCAGGATACTGCAGCGGGTAACAGGGTTGTCTTTGTTCTATTTTTAAATTGCTATGTTGATTAGTTAGGCGGGGATTAAGATGTCAATATGTCAACCGGATGTTGTTCTCCACTGTGTGTATTTTTTTTTTCCAAATCCGTTTATGGCGAGAGCCAGACATCTGAATATTTACCATCACAAAATACGTTATTTTTTCATAGATGATAAGTTGGTACATTACTTTCCACTCCCTGTCTCTTATACACATCTAGATGTGTATAAGAGACAGGTTCTTTCTAATTCAAATTCAAAATCAAATTCAAATTTATTGTCCAAGAAGGAAATTACATTGAGAGAAAGTCACTGCTCAAAAATTACACAATTACAGTATAAAAAAAACATCAATATAAAAATACAGAATTATAAAGGTAATAATAATTTAGCCGTCGTCAGTGACGCCATCTACCAAAACATCGTCATAATATTGGTAGGCTAAGGGTGTACATTTTGTAGCTTGGCCAATCAGGTGGACGTGTTTCTCCTCTAGTTGGTAGATAACTTAATGTTGGTTTTTTTCTCAGATTTACTGTTATATAATAACTATAAATAATAATTATCTTTATTTTAACAGTTATGTATTTTATATTTGCAAATAAACAAAATAATTAGATTCATGAAGCAAAGTGCTTTCCAATAACATGCTGGTTATAATAACAAGCAAAAAGGTTCCCCCAGGGGTGGGGTGGAGGTCGGAGCAGGGTTTGTCCTGGAGGCTTATTATATCAGAGATATTTGGACTTATTAAGTTCAACAGCAAGAATAAGGATTATAATTATTTTATACAATTTTCACACCCATCTGCCACAACATTTTTTGTCTTTACCATTAAAAAACCTATTCTTAAAGAATTCGATCCAACTCGGCCACAAGTCAATTCGGCCACAGTCAACTGGGCCACAAGTCAACACGGCCACAAGTCACTTACTGGTACTACACTTTGAAGGAGTAATTCATCAAGTATAAAATACTAATTCTTTAAGTAATACTATACTTATTGTTATTATTATTGCTGTTATTATTGTTGTCATTGTTGTTATTATTGTTGTTTTTATTACGGTTAGTTTTAATATTAATTATTAGTTTTAGCATTACCATTATATATTGTTCAAATTTTTGTTATTATTATTATTATTATTATTATTATTACAGTACCATATAGATAATAAATAATTTTCGATTTTTTATTATTATTATTATTATTATTATTATTATTCTTTATTAGTCTTATTATTTTAATAATAGTAATTTAAAAAGTTATTGTTATTGGTGTTTTATTGGTATTTTTCTCATATTATTATTATTATTATTATTGTTGTTGTTGTTGTTGTTGTCACCTTTATTATCGGTATTATTACCCTATTATTACTAAGTAGGCTAAGTATTATAAGTATCATTATTATTATTATTACTAATTAGTATTACTATTATTATAAAAATAAACATTATCTTTAATTTATTATTGTTGTATATATTGCTATTATCACCTTCAATATCGTTATTATCACTAATTAAGTTATTAAAATTGATATTTAAATATCGTTATTATTACCATACTAGTATTATTACTATTAGTATTGTTAAAATAAATATTACTATTAATGTTGTTGTTATCACCTTTATTATCGTCATAATGACTAATAAGTATTATTAAAGTAAATATTACTAATTTATTGTCGTTATTGTAATAATATTATTGTTGAAGTAGAATGTTGTGAGTAAACAGAAGATGAACACATTAATAAATAACTCTTTTTAATTCATAGGCAATAGCATTCAAATCTCTTTTGGTAGTGTGGTGGTCCTGTTTTACTAAAATATACTGTGTACTTTATTTCAATCAGTTATTGAAGAAAAAGGATGCAAAAACTGTGGCCGAGCTGACTTGTGGCCGAGTTGGCTGTAGCCCAACTTTTTGTGGCCGAGTTGACTTGTGGCCTAGTTGACTTGTGGCCGAGTTGGCTGTAGCCGAACTTTTTGTGGCCAAGTTGATTTTTGGCCGAGTTGACTTGTGACCGAGTTGACTGTGGCCGAGTTGACCTGCACCCTTCTTAAAAAACTGGTAATTAATTAAATATCGTAAAAAATTATAGAAATTTAATGCATTGGTCAATTTCCATGATTTTTTTACTAATAAATTATAAATAATTTACTGATTGTTTTGATGAATAAATTATTATATTTTGTAAAGATTGAAATTTCTTGTCAGGTACCTACATTGTACCTAGGCTAGGGCCTATTGAAGGATATCATTTTGTGTGGGCTCCTAGCTAAATTAGCCAAGCATACACCTAGGCCTAGTACTTAGACTGAGCCTACCCTGTAATAGTTGGCTTTCTACCTCTAGTACTAGGGCCTATAAGGCCTACTAAGCTATAAATAGAGGGCATAGCCTAGTTAGGCCATCGGTTCGGCCGCGAAACAGTTCACCTAACCCCCTACTCTAGCCTAACTAAGGCCTAGGGCTAGGCCTAGCCTATGAGGAATGCTACTCACTCTTTAGTCTGTGCTTGCAGTTCGCTTAAACGCTTCCCAGATTCCTTTTCTGACACAGAATCAAACTCGCAATCTGAGGATACTAAACATACATTTAAAATTGCATAAATGGTTGATAACTGAAATATAAACCGACACATGCTTCTTTCCCCCAGCGTCATTTCTCAATCTTATCATCAATCCTATTTTCCAGGTTTTCCTCATCCACACCGGTGTTGCCTTTTTTCGGATCGTTTATCACATGATCAATAGCGCCACCATTACTAGTTTCCACGATCGTAGTCATGAATTATTCATAAACCCCACCCCCCCCCCAACAAAAAAAAAAAAATTAAGACAAATATTGTGTTGGCCACGCCCGACCAACCCAAATTTTACGAAATTAAGAGAAGGCATTTTAGTTTTTGTTTTCTTTTTTTCTTTCTTTTTTTTTTTTTGACAACAAACAATATGTTTTTTACAAGCAAAAGACTCCATGGAATATCTTATTTTGCTTGATGGTAAATCCAAAATTGTTGTATTATTTGTGTATGTTCTACTTTCTAGGCGTAAACATATATTTGTTTGCTTCCGACCTACCCATTTTTTAGATTTTCCGGCCCAAAACGAGGCCAACACAATTTCATTATTTTTTAATTATTTTTTTGGCCGAATCATCCATATACAACATATTGTGCGCATGCGCTATTTTCAAGCCTGCGCCAGCATATATGACCAGCTGCTGATCAAATAAGTAATTAATAATAATAATAATAATAATAATAAATACCGGTAATTTTAATAATAATGATAATAGTAAAATAATAATAGGCCTAATAATAATAGGCCTAATAATAATAAAGATGATAATAATAATACTAACTAATAATAATAATAATAATAATAATTAATAATAATAATAATAATAATA